GAGAAGTGGCGACTTAGCAATACAACTTTAGTACGCAGAGTAGCTGGTTTGCCGAATTTCCGGCGCAATGTAGTTTCATGATTTTTGGACTTTTGCTCTGTTTGTTTCCCTCATAATCTTTGTTCACACAGGAACAAGTCGAAGTGGTCCTACACAATGCATGGATCACTGAGATCCGCGGCGATCCTGTCTACACAGCTTGCAAACTTTGTTACACAAAGATCGACGCGGAGACCGGCCTTTGTAAGAGGAGTGCAATGCATGGCTGTAAGACTGAGAGAGGCCAAGAGGCCGTCTTGGCACACGCACAAATTGCTGATTGCACTGGCGTCGTGGAAGATGTACTTGTCAACGCTGAGCGACTGACTGCGTTGGGCGGTTTGACGTCCGAGACCGAGGTCATTGCCAAGGTGAAAGCTCATGGCCCTCAGTCTCTTTGCTTTCGTGGCCCCTATGACATCCGCTTGGGCACAGCCAAATTCATGAAGCAGTGGAGGCGTCCAGGTCTCAATCAGACAGAAAACTTGCTCAGTCAATTTGAGGTCTTAGGCTGCCGTGCTTCCTTTGGTTGGGCCTACTCCGAAGACAAGAGGCCCATGGTGAAGCAAATCACGCGCTTTCAGAATGCATCCACGGCTGGGGCTGTGCTGCCCGTGACGGACCTCTACAAAGATCTCAGTTTTTCGGACATGGGCATCTACTTTCCGCGGGGGCAGCTTTTCGTCAGCTACGTGTGCATCGTGGTGGAGGCACGCGACGAGCCCGACGTGGAGGAAGTGGAGGTGGACGGAGAGAAGCACTTGATCACCTTCCACAAGCAAGTTTTCCCCTTCAACGGCGCAAGCAGTAGACCTTTCAAAACGGAAGCCATCTGCCACTTCAAGAATTGCCACCTCTTCAACATGGGGGACAACCAGCCTCGCTTTTTAGTGGGCCGCCCCCACGCAGATCCCGAAACCGGTGAGATCACCTTCAACATTGAGTGGCTGCGCGGTAAGGTGGGGGAGGTAGTCTCCAAACTGCAAGCTGAGCAAGCTGGCATATGGCAGTTGCTGGCTACGAGCCCTCAGACCACTCGCAATAAGCGACCGGCGTCGGGTCTGGTGAGTGAAACTCCCTCCAAGGTGAAATGCGCGGCTTGGGGCACAGACTAGCGTAATATTTTCCGGGACACGCTGCGAGAGGACGTCCTTCTGCGAAGTCTTGCGCTGCCCCGCTAGCTTTTGCCGTGGTCGGCTGCCGCAAGGTGTAACAGAAAAGATCGGTAGACATATCGTTGGAACAGAAAACAAAGCAAACGTTATCACACAACACGACTGAGACGCACAAGAGCTGTGGATCTTCCCGATATCACGACAGTTTCTTGTCACAATAGTGAGGAGGAGTACTCTGCTTCTGTGTTCTAATTGGCTTTACGTGTTGGTCCAGGTCCGACGCATCTGCGGAAGTTCTTAGGGAGGTGAACACAGGGCAACACCGAGGTGCGAGATCCCAGAGAGAAACGCTTAGCTTTAGATCGACGATAGCATGACAGTTTGACCAGAAGGCTGCATCAGGCGCTCCTTTCTTTATTTTTCTTCTCTGTTTTGTTCTCTCAAGGTGCACGAAGAAGTGCTTGACAATGCTACAAACACACGAGAGGAAAAGCTAAGTAGCCATGTCATTGGGACAGAAAAGAAAGCAAACGTTGCAAGACAGCATGGAGCAACACTTCTGCGGCCTTGCTTTTTCCGGTTGACCTATTTTGAGTCGCGACCGCTGCCGGAAGTGCTTTCATCGGTTCCATGCCTGGTGGACTCGTTGCTTGGCCACGGCAGCTGCTAGCTTTCCGAGGTAGTCTACAAACGATGCTGACTCAAGTCAATGCGCTGCTAGACATTCTGCCAGACACGCACTGGGACGCGCGCGTGGACGCGCCTGCCCCGAGAAGATCTCGATCTCCAAGTCAGAGCCATGACACTTCGGCGCCGAGTATTTTCTGGGCTGGATTAACTGTTCAGCAAACAGCTGTGCTGCACCTGGAGAGGCCGGATGGTGAGCTGGTCCGGCTGGGATGCAACTATCCGGAAATGTATCTTCTGATCTATTTCCACGTGGAGGAGAGATGTAACACATACCTGCAAGATGGCTTCTATACTGTTGCAGATCTTCTCGCCTACGTTGTCCGAGGAACTTCCATGACTGCCAGTGATGTGTCCTTGGTCAATGTAGATCACCACGGCTGTCTGGAAGTCCAACCGAGTGATGTTTTATCTGAATTCATCCCGGCTTGGCGGCAAGACGTGGAGCGAGGCGACCTCCATGTCGAGTACCTTGGAAATTTGCCTGTCTTCCACTTCACGCCGCGACGACGGGCACCTAGACGGGGAAGCTGAAGGGACGTCGACACAGACGGACGTCGTTCTACGAAAGTTTGTGTCAGCGACCCACGCTCTGCGTGTCCGTGACTTTGCAGCCGGCAGAAAACGACGAGTCTCCGTGCGCCTGACGACACAACCGGTACTTTTGGAGAGACTCTGTTTCAAGGCGGATACACACTTGTTGCCTTTAGCTCCTCATGTTTTTCTCTGCATGTCGTTTTATATGTTTAGATAGCTGCTTCTACTCAAGTTTCTTTTTTGCAATGGTGATGAGAAGAACTCTGGTTCTCTGTTACACTTGGCTTTGCAATTTCAGCAAGCTTCGAGGCAATTATCTGTTAGGGAGCGCTGTCCTTTGTAATTGTCTCAACTTGCATATAATAGTCCGCCGGAGAACTCTGCTTCTGTCTTATAGTCTGCTTTGCGTGTTGCTCCAGATCCGACGCTTCTGCGGAAGTTCTTACGGAGGTGGACACAGGGCGACACCGAGGCGCGGGATCCCAGAGAGAAAAGCTTAGCTTTAGATCGACGCTAGCATGAAAGTTGGACCAGAAGACTGCATCACGCGCTCCTTTCGTTGTTTTTCTTCTATTCTCTTGTCTCTCAAGGCATGGACGTGCTTCTGTCGAAGTTCGGCACTGCGGTGGACGCAACGCGTCAGCGAGGCGCGGGATCCCAGAGAGAAAAACTCGGCTTTACATCTATGATAGCACGCGCGCTTCTTTTGGCACTAGTTTCTGGTTCTTGCCCATTTCAACAACAACTAACCATTTCTCTCAGGGTTATAGCTTTTTGGCTCCAGTATTCATAACATCTAGGCTTCGGACAGATTGCCCTGGTATGAATCACCTGCAGCCATCCCTGCCACATTTGCCTGTGGAGCTTTGTGCGCAAGAGTGGATCGACGATATGAAGCATCTCATTCAGACGTACTTCTACCATGGGCCATGGAGGCATCTGGATCGTGTCATGTGGAACCATTCTTACAATTTGGGAGATCTCCGTGCGTGGCCCTTGGACGCGACCATCGTCTATGAGTCGAGCGATATGGTGTATGTCCTGGGCAGTCTGAAGTCGGCGGCGAACTTGGCCGAAGTGGCACATATCTGCGGCGTCCAAGTGAACACGCTCGTGACGCTCTGTGCCAAGGAGTTGCAGGCCAAAGGGACACCAAAAAGTTTGGATGCCTATTTACGCCTGCACAGTGCCCAACAATGTGTCTACGCTCTGGACGATTTGACGGTCAAAGTCGCCCAAGATCCGACGCTGTACACGGAGCAGGCCCAGAAGAACTGTCGGGTGTGGTCAGAGATCGCACGCACTTTGAATGCCAGGCGTGCCATGCTGGGGAAGAAACAAGTCGTGCTCTTCCATTGTTTCGGCGGCATACATCGCAGCCCCGCGGCACTGGCTGCGACGTTGATGGCCAGGGAAGGTCTTCAGGCGCAGGAAGCCATTGAACAGATTTTGCGGCGCCGACCTTCCTTGCGCCCATGGAAAAATCGAGACTATATTCTATGGGCACTGAAGCATTGGGAGACTTTGCTGTCCAAGCACGCTCACGCGGCTTTGAGTCTCTGAGAGGCTCGGGACATGGACGCCGCTCTGCGAAAATGTATCACCGCGACGGCATGGACGCTGTTCTGCAGAAGTGTCGTCGCGCGGACTAGACGGCGCAGGCAAACAAAAATAGGCGCGGCGCCGCCGTGAGCTTCAGCCTCTAATCTCAGCAAATAGTTTAGCATAGGAGATATCTTCTTGGTTTCTCCCCAAAGCTCTTGTTTTTTTTCCGGCCAGGTGTACTCTTCTATACCAGGAGGCGAGGACGGGTGAGGGCAGAAGACGAAGACAAATTCATCGGCGCGGTGCCACACTGAGCTTCATGAAACAGCCTAGCACAAGAACGCAGTGAGAGTCTCCCCGACGCAGGGTGTCACCTAGATGTTCACATGGTAACTGCATGTCTCATACCACGACTTCTTCCTTACAAATCCTGTGTGGACGTCGTTTTGCGGAAGCACGACAAGTATAGACATAGTGTCGGGGAGTCTCTGCCCTATACAAGGGCTAGTCGCGAGCTGAACGACCAGAGCATACGAAAACATGCGCAGTGCCTGCTATGTGTCACCTCGTGCTACTTTGTTGCATGTTTCTGTGGGAGAGGCGATTGGAAAATGAGCAGCATAGTGGTTCTCAACTACATCTAGAGCGAAGCACATGTCACCCTCAGAGCGCCTGTGCCAACAGACTGTGCGTTTTCCGTGACTGACCTTTCAGGGCTCACAGTGACATTGCAGAAGTCTCCATACAACTTGGGCCAACTACCACAATATCAACTCAACAGCAATGAAGAATATACTAGCAAGAAGTTTGAACGCGCCCCACAAGCTTTTGCAATATTCATTTCCCGCATAAACCTTTACCAGGCAAACCGAGCCTTCTTATGGCTATGCGTGCGCTATTTACTACTTTACAGCCCACTAGCTCGTAGGTCTCCCTCTTTACCCAGCCATCATGCCAGGGAACCTTGGCATTGTTGACGACCACTTCT